GAATTGTGTATAAACTCAGTAAATGTAAAGACAGGAAGTTTGACTTTAAATTTTCAAATATTTAAATTGTGTATAAATTCAATAAATGTAACGACAGGAAGTTTGACTTTAAATTTTCAAATATTTGAATTGTGTATAAACTCAGTAAATGTAAAGACAGGAAGTTGGACTTTAAATTTTCAATTATTTGGATTGTGCATAAACTCAGTAAATGTAAAGACAGCAAGTTGGACTTTACATTTTCAAATATTTGAATTCGCATACAAACTTTTCTCCCACAATATACATGTGTGTATAATTGGTTGACATATAAACAGATCCAATCATGCTCCAATGAATAAACCATATTCACTGTTTACGTATACACTACCTACGTATATCAATCAAAGAAATGAGATAACATAACTCCAGCTAATAATAGACCAATCCCAACTAAAATTCCCTGTGAATTCCATAGCGTACCACAACTAAACCAGTCAGTATATCAATCAAAGAAATGAGATAACATAACTCCAGCTAATAATAGACCAATCCCAACTAAAATTCCCTGTGAATTCCATAGCGTACCACAACTAAACCAGTCAACATCTTTGATATTTGAATTCTGATGACAAATGAAGGTAAAATAACTTATCTAACATTGTTGTGGCTACTGTAAAAAGAAACAGTAGGATGTATACCCTCTAAGTAAATGTCCATACAGTTTACAGAGATTGGAAACTGTCATAGAGGATATTATTTACACGAATCCATTGTTTAGGCATGTATAATTGTGTAAAATTAGACACACATGTATGATACTATATAGAATATCCACAAACTTGACATTATCTTGTAAAAACATTTGTAATGTAGGAAGAATCTGGTTTAACACCAACCTGTTCTCCGTAAATTAGCTAACAATCTATTATACAAGTAATATATGTAAGTGACTTTACACTAAAAGTTATGTCTACCCTTGATCAGTTTCTCCTGGAAATTTGAAAATATTTAGATTTAGTATATTTTTTTCAATTTTCTTACCATTATATCACAGATGTTGGAAAGTAAATATGTCAAAGTGTTCAGTAATTGGGTATACTGTACTATTATTTTTAACCAAATCATCTTCCTTCAGCTTCTAATGATATCAATGTACTTCACCAGATATTTTAATTATTATTTCATTTAACAGTACTTACCTCTACAATGATAGCCCTGCTTACCAGGGCGACGAGAGAGGTTTTTCCCACACAACTGACAAACAGTCGACCTAAAAAATAATGTAAAAAAGTCACAACTGATTTTAAGATCCCTTTCTAACTATACACCTGGAAAAAGTTAAGCACCCCCAAATATTTTTCAGGATTGCTTATTGAAAATAAGGTTTAATTTTC